AATGTATTACAGAATTAAAATCGTTTTAACAGATTTAACAGTTATTACAACTTAATGATAATAAAAATTTTAAGATCATCTTTGAAACTTTCTTCTAAACGAAGATCAAATGAAATTTCTCGACCAGCACCACACGACTGTTTCAAACCAACTGGATTTGCTGATTAAGTCATGGAAAAAATATTGGAAATAGAGTTTGGATTCGACATTTCCTTTTCGACAAAGATTCTACAACACGTTCAATTCTGAGTAAGAATAACGGTTGAATTATAAATAACCTTCCAAGCTCTGTTGTTAACTTGAGAAGTCCACAGCAACATTCTCAAATCTACATACGTAAAGATAATATTAATAAAAATTTCGATTTCCTCAAATCAGTTAAGTCAGCGTTTCTCAAACGTTTTCAGTTGACAATAAAAATTATGTAAATCGAAATATGAATTTAAGACAAAATATTCTTGTGTTTTTAAAGATAATCCAATAAATTGAATTGACATCTTATTCAATACTTATTTAGATATAGAAACAAAATTAATGCAGCACACCTGAAGAACATCAATTTGCTTGATTATTTATTAACAATCCACATAACTTTTTACAAAGATTTGATTTATTACCATGCTAATTTGTTAGTATCTCTTGTGTTGTTAACGGTACCAGTTTGACACACTTTTACTAAATATTTCAACTATAATAGTATACAAAAATCGTTGTGATGGTAACGATGCAAAAATCATGCGTAAATACGAAATTATTCTTCACAAAATTCTTTGATAAATTGATTCTTACATTCATCATTGAACAGTAAAGAAATGTGTATGAATGAATAATTGCTTGTACTTAATTTAATCATCGGCACATTTATGTTATGTTTTCATAGCATAAAATGTCCAAAAAATTTGCAATTTTTCACAAACAAAAACACAAAAGAAGAAAAATTCGATATGAAACTATTTTGATTCATAAATGGATCAACGAGAAGTTTAAGTAAATTGTTTTATTTTCGCTTCAGTAATCACCTTACAAATGTGACACCATGTGATGTTTTCCTTCGATTCTTTACGCATTCAAACATACAAACATCATTTTTTAGCAATAACAACGACCTTACGCACAGATCACTGCCACTTTCCGAGAACATCATTTTTATTATTTGCAAATATCGATGTGAACAGAGAACAAATGTGATTGATAAATTACATTCCCTCTCGTCTCGGACACGTACATGAGTCGATAAACATATAAAAAATGCTTTCATAACTAACGATCACGGTGAAAAAGTTTGTTGAGGGAAGACATGACTACTTAATCTCATTTCTTACGCATGATTTCAAGTGATGTCATATGAACATTGATAAAAAATTTATCTTTTAAGACGATTTGTTGCCTGAATGTGATAGATTTGCTATCATCAAAGGGTGAATCTTCAACTATTTAAAGCGTAAAATTGGAGTTGATAAACTATCACGTTCCAGTCATAAATATTCAAAGCAATTTTTGATGATAATTTATTATAAGCTGTGACAAAATCAGCTGAAAATAGCTTCTGTGATTGAAGCATTTTGCTACAGTAAATAACTTTTGAAATTTATGATGATTTCTAATCAAATGCATAAATGAAATATTTTGCATACGCTATAAAAAAGTCAATTTTTGCGAGCGCCTCCCGGCAATGAATTCATTCAGAGAAATCAAAAATATTTTCAATTTAAATTTTACGGGTTCGTTCCGATCACAATAAAGTAGAAAAATGCCGTCAATCCTCCAATAAAAGATCTGCGACTAATTGGGAAAATGTTCATCTCTGCATCAAATTGTTCCCTTCTTGACTTTCACTTATTCGTATTCCTGTTGAAACTCTAAGGCGTATTAAAATTAATAACACTCCTCTTGTTCAGCAAGAGCATCAACATCGGTGACATGTCGCTGTCGCTTTAAAACCAAAGGATTGTGTTTTTGGAAAATTGAAAGGATCATAACCCGAAAAATAAAAGTAATTTTGTTGAGGAAAGCAGAAAAATTATTTGCGCAACCCCTTTTTTGCATTTACCCAAAATCCCTTTTACATCTTTTCATTCCTGGATATTATCGCAAAAACAGCAGTGAAAACAACACAACACAGGAATGAGAAGCAATAATTGTCACACATTCTATGTAAAATATGATCCATTTAAATGATAATGATTGACATTATTGTGATACCATGATCAGACAAAGTAACATTTTTTGATTCTTTATGACTTTCATCAGGAAACTTTTGTGTCGCTTTTTTTTCTGGTTAATAAAAACAGAAAATTCCATCGTGTTTTCACAGAAAAATATTTAGGAAGTCCCGCATTATTCTGGTTAATTGAAAAAGTCATATTTTTTGATGCTAGGTTTAACAACCTTATGGATTAACGAAATGCCTTTGTTTTGTTGTAAATAAGCACACACGTGGAGCGTCCGTTCAACGATATTAAAACCACAATGAAACTTTTTCATAAATACTTTTTTTTTATCAATATTTTAACCACAGCCATTTGTGACATTGTAGAAGTTTCAAAGCTGATCGTGTGTCTTCTTATCATACCCACAATAACTCATTGAATGTTTTGAGAGAAATAAAAATGAATCAAACAATATCAATGTCGAGTCTAAATGAATATTTATTACATCACATCAATAAAACTCATTTCACTTTGATGTTATAAATAAATTTCTTTGTTAATTTGATTACGAATCAATGTTAATAATCCTGTGATGTCTTCAACATATTCTCTCTTGATCCATTCATTGTCCCATCTCTTTCGAATGACTTGATTGATTAATGAGAAATTTGCATCACATCATTTAACAGGAAATCGCGTCGGTATGAAATTTCTGCACAATTTCGTCAACAAAATAAACTTTATAGTATGAGAAGAAAGAAAAACGATTTGCAAGTGAATGAAGACTTATGAGCTTTCATTTATCACGTCATAATTTTAGTCTGAATTGAAGGAAATTTGCATCAAACTGAAATATTTATTACATGCAATGGTTTCCTTCTTTACATTATTGCAAATGTTTGATACAATTTGCATCCTTTCATAACAACCTTTCTTGACTATAAACCATAAATATTTAGAGCATTACAGCACATGCAAACCATGCAAAAGCCTTTCGACCCTCACCTATAGATGTTAATTAACCGGTATTTTTCAGATTCCGGTTAACCTAGTAACCGAAACGAAGAAACTCGGTTAACCTACGGTTAACCGAAATCTTAAAATAGTGATAAAAATTTGATTTTTCAGCATAAAAAATTGAAAAGAATGCTTGATATGCATACTTCCACTCTTTCCCTAGTACATTTATTGCACTTTGCNNATTTGCATCCTTTCATAACAACCTTTCTTGACTATAAACCATAAATATTTAGAGCATTACAGCACATGCAAACCATGCAAAAGCCTTTCGACCCTCACCCTTAACTTTCTAATTGAAAACTGAAGCAGTAGCAAAGCCAAAACTTTCTCCGTCAAAAACAACAAGAAACTATTAAAATATTAGCTTAGCACCATAAGCGTGACTGTTTTTATTCAAATGAAGTGCAACGCTTCATTGTCAATTACTGAATTTATTGCATATGAATGAATTATGGCATTGTTGTTATTATTGGTGCTGTGTTGTATTATGCGCCATAGAGTGAGACAACTGGAGTTGAGAGAAATTAAAACCACATGGTGTTCTTTGACATCATTTTAATTCTTCCTTATTTAATGTTATGCATCGAAAATAAAAAAAAAGAAGCGAAGTTACCCTCGCTGATGAAATGAAATGCTATAATGACCATCATGCAAAGTGACATCAAACGAAAAATAACTTCGCCCCGTAAAAAAATGCATCCAACCGAGAATTTTATGCTCTTGATGTTCAAGTGTAAAGCAAATACTCCACAATGTGTTCGATTAAATATTGGAAAACACTGATATAGATTTTATTGTCACTTTTGATGTCAAACTATCGAAGGAGGATTTTTATTGACATGTCGTGGTAGTGGCATTGTTTCCAGTCATAATTTCACCAATTATCCGTCTTTGTTTTGATGATAGAATTTATTTAGTCCCTTTCTATGACCCTCATTTGTGCCATCTGTTATACAAATCGCTATCTGATATCTCTTGCATTTAAATCGATACCTGGCGTGTTAATAAAGAATGGAAGTCTATGATGTCAACAAACAACAGGTTTAATTTTTTAATATTTGGTTTCATTAGAAGGTTTTTGATCGTCTGTTGAGTTCATGACATTTTGGGTTTAATAAATTTAGCGATTGTGAACAACAAGCTAATTTTTCAGAAACTATTCAATCTGTTACTCGGTCCAGAAAGATTTTGCACGATTTATTAGTTAAGTTTATTAGATATCAAAGTGATAAATCAGCCGTTGGCCATTAGCCTAGCTTAAGACTTTTCTGTGGTAATCTATCCCACTTCTGATATTTTTTTTTATTAGTTCTGCGCTCTTTATGACTGCGTCGGAGTTAGATTCGAATAAAAAACATTCGAATAAATTTCAATTTCGGGATCAGCAAAAATCTTTTTTGTCATCATGATGAATTGCACAAAATTGCAATTGTTAGCTGAAAGTATTTCTTCTGGGGGCTACTGAGATCTTTATTTTATTTTTTTAATAATTTATTGCGCAATGTTACGAGTTCAATGTCACGAAATATTTATTGTGCAACTTCATCAAATTGTTGGAACGAACGATTGAAGTATTTTGGTTTGATAATTTATTTTCTAAATATAAAAGAAACATCAGAAGAAAATTAATTAATGACATGTTTTATTGTGGATATAATTTCTTTGTTGTTTAAGTTAAATGCTGGTTTCAACTCTAAAGTGTTTAAGTTTATTAGAATTTCGATGGTAGATGCGACACGCAAGGTTAAGACTGGAAAAAGACATGACATACGAGCTCGCACCATTCATCAAACGGATACGCTCAATATATCATATGATTAGAAACTCAAACTCGTTTCGGTACATAAATTACAAGCGCAACGTTTATGCGGTAGACAAATTGCTTGCATTAATTAAATGCGTGTGTTTTGGTCAATTAATTGAAGATAAGTTGACGCTTGTGTGAAAATGTTGCAGTAACTTATGCTATGAAAAATAAAAATTACTTTAATAATTTATATTCCTTTATGATAATATCAAATGATATTTATAAATGCAACTTGAATCACAGAGAATGGCAAAAAGCTTGCAAATTTATTTGCACAATTTCTTTTGAATTCATCCTTCTTCTCAACTACAAAACAGAAACATTCAAAGACGACGACGCTATGATGCGATAACATCGTTGAAAGAATTCATTACAACTCTAATCTTCTTATATTTGCATTCATATTTTATTATGATTCGAGATTGTGGGTGAAATGAGACAATTTACATTTTTTAAAAATTGTTTTCTAAATGTTTATTGCATTGGTCGTCTGCTCTTATTTTTAATTTAAAAATATCGCAGCGAATTTTTTGTGTGGAAATATTTTTACTTTGCTTTATCATTCATTGGACTATGTAACAATCGCATTGTTGAGAACATCGCGTCCCTTCTTGCATAATTGAATTTGAAGCGTAAATGACATCTGAAAGCTATTATATCAACCAAGTAATTGCTTCTAATTCTGATTTTCCTCGGGAACGTAAATGGGTGAAAGAAAACGCTACACGATACTTTTCATTTCTCGGAATGTTTATGGGCAATTTCGTTGCTTTATTCTTTGCGACAAAGATTTTTATTGCCTTTTTGCAAGAGAATGGAACTGTTAATGATTTTTCTTAGACTGAACCACCTTTTGTTTCTTCTTCATTGTCCTATTCATGTCGCCCTATTGAGACGTCATATTAAGTCACCCTATTGCAAATTAGACTCTTACACAGTATTTGAATAGAATCGTCAAGTCTTCAGGGGCGCTTTGGAAGGTATTTTGATATCTATCTCGATACTAAAAAATTTGATATGGACATAAAGTCAACTAATTTGATTCCTTCAAAGCTTCCTTTTTATGGTTATGGGACGAGTCAGCGAGTCGCATATTGTAAGTTATGTGTATGTGTAACGTCATTAATTGAAATCAAATGAAATTGAATCACATTTTCCTTACTTACAATGCCATGAAAGCGATATTTTCTCAGCAATTTTATGATTTTCAATAATTAGAAGTTTGATAAGATTAAATTGGAAATTCGAGAATTTCTTTAATGACTCTTCGTTTACATTCACAATTTGTGACATCGCTTGGAAGAGCATTTACTTCAATTATATCTTGTTAAAGATTTTATGTATATTGTTGATTACATATCCAGGGATGTTTCGTTTTATTCCTGACAAATTTAATCTTTCTTCAAAACAGTTTTCATATCATCTGAATTGATCACATGAATGCATTTCTTGTAAAGCCCTCAGATCAGATCTAATATGCATTGAAGCTTCAATGATGCTCCAAAATTGTGTTTAACTATCATGAAACACATTGAAATCTATTTTCAATAAATTAATTAAAGTTTCCAACTTGATAGGCAAGAAATTGTACAAATCGATGTTAAATTATTTTGCTGTATTAAACTTAAGGTGTTTAATTACATCTGATGTCACTGTTCCAGATGGAAATGTTGATCAAATGTAATGAACATTGCTATCAGAAATATAACTACGAAAGTGTGTAGCTTAAAGTTCATGAAATTATGAAATTTTTAAGATTTGGCATTGACGTTCTTTCTTCTGTCATCAAAATCTTGAAAAACAAATCACAAATTTGTCATTTAATTAATAATCATCACAACAAAGTAATTATGAGGGCGTAATGTGAACTCGATAACCAATTCATATATATTTCGTAGAACATTCTAAATAAATCACAATGCAATCATAAGGTACATTCAAAGAGTTGAAATCTGTCGAAACGAGAATGAGACATAAAAATCCCAAAAATTTTTCATCAAATAAATTTCTGGTCTCTCGTTTTTGTTCAAATTCTGATTGTGTGATGTAAACATTGAGGATTATTTGAGTGCCTTCATAGTGTTTGAAAATGTATTTCGAATGAATGATGAAGAAAATATATAACAAAAGGATTAAATGAAATTTTTTCTTTTGTGTTTCTGTTTCGAAACGGTGAAGAGATGAGTGTGGAAAACTACAACAAAGTGGTCGATGGATTTCAATTGATGAAAGTGACCACTCGAAGTATTTTAACAACGATTGCTTCTCCTACCACATGTCAATAGTCAGATTATATCACTGCTGAGTAAAGTGCTTGAGACAAAAGAGTAGAAAATTTGTTGAATCTTTTGAATGCACTCGAACATTTTAATGAATTATTATCGCCGTGATGGTTGCTTTGAAGAAACGAAATGAAATCGTTTGATGACCATCACCACAGTTGGACATCAATAAAATAAACCACTCGTCATTCATCATCTTTTGTGTTCATCTCATATGAGTTAAAAGAGATAACTTACCGGAAAAGCCTTCCATAAAACATCTAAAATAAGAGAAATTGATTAGAGTTGAGTTTCAAATGATTAAATGTGAATGATATTCCTATTAAACAACAAACTTGTCCACCCTTACAATCTAATGACGTCAATAAATGTCAGTGATAATAGAATATAAAAGAAAATAAATGCGATATCATCAATAAGGATCCAAACACGCATGAAGAAGAGAAGAAACGAATTAGATATCTTGATGTGTATATTTTTTGTGCCTGCTCGCAACCCCTTAAGCATGCATCTCATCAAACAAAAGCAATTTTCATATGTGCGGAATCTTCGAAATGGCAATGAATAAAAAGCAGATTTTTCACTCTATTCATATTTTCAAAATAATATCCTGCTAATGTTTAGCAAATTTATCAAACTGATATTTTATTTATATTTTCATTGTTTAGTGGATGTGAAAGTAACGAGGCATGCAAAATACTTATCAATCAAATGTTTCATTCTTTTCCATCAACTTCATTGATTAAATTTTCTTCCTAGGGTAGCCTTAAGTAAAGTCTTTAATATGTCAACATATCAATTTGAAGTTAACAACCTGAGTTGAGAATTCCTTGAGAAATTTAAAACGGCTTTAATAAAATTGTTGAATATTTAAAAATTTATTCCAGCCTGATGTGCACGAAGTAAATTCATTTTACAAATGTTTTCTCATTTACAATCGATGTGTTTATACCGCATTTTATGCTAATGAAGTTGTTTTGTAAATTTTCAATCAATATTTTATATTTTGCATATGTGACATTTATTGTTTTTGACTACATTTAGCCATGCAGTGTTGTGATGCAAATGTTTTAAAAAGGGAGAATATTGTGAATTTATTTTTTATTCCTGCTATGACATTGAATTAAACTGAAAGGGATTTACAAAATATTTCACCCTTTCCCACCTTTAATGTCATTGATTTTGTGGCGATATTTTAGAAAGTTACATAAATAAATGTTTAATTCCAATCAACAGTCATTTTTCACTTCAACGCTGTTATTAATCTTTTCAGTTAATTTATGGAAGCTTCAAGAAACTTCCAAATTTATAAGATTTTTGAAATATTCTCTCCCCGAATCATGAAAACTAATCAAAAATTGTTTTCGCTACAAGTTCCCATGAAATTTTTCATACTTTTTAGGGAAAGGGTTTTGAGTTGCATAATAATTTACCAAGACTAAAATTTACATCTCTTGAAAATCATGTGACACGGTTGTAATCTCTATCACAATAATAATTTATCATCAAACGTTATGTTTCTGCGACAATGTTGTGAATGCTGATTGATTAGTGAAAATGGTGTTAGACAACCGCGACGATTCCTTTAAAATTGTTGAGGATGAAAAAGGTTTGATAAGCGTATCAACTGAATAACACTCATGGGAGTTTTAAAATTGTTATTGTTGTAAATTGGCAAAGTAAGTTGAGGGATGTGATGAAGATTTTTGTTTCTCCCTGATAAATTTTATTCTTCTATAAAATAATTTTCGATTAAAATTGTTAAGAATAAAAGTTTTATTGAATTTCTTACAAAGTATTTTAATCCACATCATCACAATATGCACAGAAGTTTAAAAATTTTGTTTATTTATAATTTCGAGTCAAAACTTAAACTTTATGTGTGTGATCGAGATGGTGATATTGATCAGAAGTATCTTTATTAACGTATAAAAAGAAATAAATTAATACATCTGACAAATTGTATATAAAAAATTTATGCGCAAGTATTTTTAATAAAAAATCTTTTAAGTGTGGAAAAACCTTGTTTTTAATATTAATGTCATTTAACCGAGAAGAATTTTTATTTGTTCTCTCTAAATGACGATCAAAACAGTATTGAAGTCAGTTGTTCAGTTTGCCAAACATTTTGTGTCGTTTGTTGTTTTCTTACTTCTATGATAAAAACATAAAAAGACACGTCACAAATATTTATTAATCATCAATCGCTTCATTCAGAAGAAGAAATTTATGTTGGGGGTGGAATATGAACTCGATAAGCAATCATCTATGTACAGAAAACAATGTAAATAAATCACATTTCAATCAAAAGGTACGCTTGTATCGTAAAAAGCTTAAATTTAAGCGTATCAACTGAATAACATTCATGGATGTTAGAAATCGTTATTTTGGTGTTGGAAATTGGCAAGTAAGTTGAGGGATGTGAGAAAGAAACGATCAATTACATTTTTATTGTTTAGGTACCTTGTCATGTAATTTGATTTTTAATCTTTCGTCTCTTTTCCTACCAACACCCGAAAACGATTTTAAATTTTGAATATTTTGTGGGATTGGAAAATTAACAGGAAAATCTTTTATTTCGAGGGGAGATTCGTTTCGCTTTGTTCAATGTTTGAAACTGTTGGAATTATAAGAACATCGCTTGTAGCAAAGAACTTTGCGAATCTATTGACTTAATGTTACGTTTTAATATTATTTGAGAATATGGATTAGTTGTCTGATGATTGGAAATGAAACAAAAGGGTGGATAAAATAAATTTCTTGTCTTTTAACATGAATGTATGTTGCTGTTTTGAAAGTACATAGTTTTCAATTACATTAGTTAACTTTCTTCTTATGTCTTCCATCCTGAATCTTCCCTACACAAAACACAAAATAATTATTTACATAAACAGACATTACTTAGTAGTTAGTTTTATTTAGCAAAGCGGAGCGATGTGTGATGAATAAAATTGTGAAAGTTAAATTGATTGAAAATAATGTTACGAGAATTTTCTCAAATTAAACAAATTAAGTTGAATGTAAAGACATGAAAATTTAATTGAAGACAATAAAGGGTTTTGGCAATAGTTGTTGGCTTACTCGCATTTTCATTTATTCATTCGTCTGTTGTCTAATGTAAGAAATGAAATGCCTTGAGTGCATAGATAGGATAATTATTATTGTGTGCTATGTTAAATTAGGCTTAAGAGAAAGTTTTCTTTATAACAAGTCTCGCTTTGTTCTTTAAGTTAAGCCTTTTTGTGTGATATGCAAATTAACCTTCTTAGAAGTAAATTTCTTGTTCATTGAAGGAAAACTTGCTAATATCTTGTAATTAGAAAGAGGAAATTCTGGGTAATTTATAAACTCATATCGAGTTCTGACGATCAGGAAAGGATTGGAATTGTTAATGGAGCTCATTTGGACACACTTCAGCGTGTTGAAAAATGTGTTTATGAAGCAAATTATCAGCGATTTTATCTTGTGGGTAAAACAACACTTTTGCCTTTTCCGGTTGAAATGTTTGAAGTTTGAATGTAATTAAAAGTTTTTGACATGATTTCTGGAACAACGATTAATAATAATATAAAAATAGAAAAAAACATTTTGACATCAGAAAGTCATTTTACAAAAGTGATAAATCTCCAATCCAAAAGTACATTTGTCAAGCATTTTGAAGACATGAATGCACGCGTCCGATTGCGTGATTCTCATTGCACGTGTAACATTTCGTAACCGTTTCATTCTACGTCGTCGTTGTCATTTCTGTCATATTCTTCTCTCTCATTGTGTCGAATAAAATGTCAATCTCGTAAAATTTTGATGCTTTTAAAATTGACCATGAAATGAAGTTTCTGTAAAGTCAGGAAGCAGCGAAATGAAGATTTACGATGCCATTCAAGAGAAGAAGTAGACGAGTTTAACTTGACATGGCGAAAGATAAATTTAATGACTCATAAATATGATGAAGAAATCAACTTTAACCACACATACTCAAGTTCGTCTAATATGCTGTTGAATTTTTCATCTAAATGACGAAAGACGTGTAATTAAATCATACATGAATAATATTTTACAGATGAAAACAAAAGTAATAAATTTCAAAGAAATTAAAATATTTAAGCAGAGAATCCGAAAAAGAAGAAAACTTCTTAAAGATAAATCATTCGAATGAATTGAAAAGGTTTACGATTCAACTCGTTGTCAATTTGTCATATGCCTAAAGGGAAAAATAGAACAATTCACCCTCACTCACACCCCCGCATAAAATAGTCATAAACGCGATAAAAAATGATCTGCTAACGTTTGATATAATGAGTTAAAACCATTTTCTTAAATGGGCTCGTAAAAAGCAAAAAAACAGAGCGCAGTGTTCATCACAATTCAAGAATCGCTAAAAGGGTTAAAAATCAACCGCGCTTGTGTCTCACTTTGATTACTCACGAGGAAGTTTAATTCTTTCAACAGCATATTTCTCCTGGTTATCATTTTAATGGCATAAGATTATTATCTGTCATTAAGACTCCTTAATACGTCGTTGCGTAGCAAATAAGATTAGCAAAGCAAAGCAAGTACTCAAAGAAATGAAACGTTAAGTTTGCTTAATGAATTTTTTTCTTTTATTTTTCGCTTCGATAAAAATTACGCCTTCAGCTTATTTACAATGTCTGGTTTTGTTTTCAATATATTTGAGCAAGTTTCTTAATTTTTGTTATTTCTTTGCGCACGATGTCACTTAAAAACCCCCAAGTGAACGTCGATAGTTTGAAAACTGTTCAAATATCGCATTACAGACGCACAATTTTTGTGCTGTTGTTTTTTTCTACAATTGCGACCGTTTTAATTAATTACCAATTCTTCTTTCGGTCTGGTTGTAAACAATAAATTTAACTAATGGAGTGGACTGAAGCCATTGTACGATTGCCAGTCATATTTCGAAACAGTTGCGATGTACTGCGGGGGTTCGTAGACGAGTTTATGTCATGAAGTTGGAGAAAAAAAAATTGTGATTAATGCTTTGAATTTATTCACTTGCGACTTCGATACATATCAGCAATAAAATAATTGACTCGTCTAAAAGCTTTTGCGTTAAGAGTTATGTCATGGTCATCGGATTATTGTCAAACTCATATCGTCTCATGTTTTTAATTTTAAAAGAATTTTACATGAAAAGAATGTTTTTGAGCTATTAAAACTCATAAAACGTTTATTTGCGTCATTATTTTTTATCGCTCATTGATGAACGCTGGAAATTTTCACGTATTCTGTTGTTGTCGTTATGGAAAACAGTTCACGTTGACATCATGAATATTTTAAACATACACATCAAACAATAAACTTTTTTAACAGAAAAACACCTCGCATGTAGTGAGAAAAATAGGAGACCGAAATTAATTAATTCTTGAGGAATTCACGCGTCCCCAAAATTTGAAATGTTTTTTTTGTTGTCATTCAAATGTCCCTTTTCAAGCCTTTGGAAACATCACTAGATGGATTGATTTGAAATCTGTTACCCGACCGACCAACCGTCGAAATCCCATTGTTTAGTCCGTGACATTTATTTCCCTTTACATTTCAATTGACCGTCACGACAATAGATTGGACTCGGTCAATGGACATTTTTCAGTCTCCTAGCTTTGGTCATAATTGAAAAATATTTTCAGGAAAATGCTTTCATTACGTTGGAAAATTTTTAATTGAAGCCATTCAGAACTTATTTTTAATGTTGAATTTCCTTCAGACCATTCATACGTGGAGATTTTGTTTGTGCAATTTTAATTAAATTACCCGGAAAAAATATCAACGTGACGAAAAAATTTGCATAAGCGTAGAATAAAATTTTGGTAGAAAAAAGTTTAAACATTTAACGGCAGATATGACACGAAGAGTCGCATTTAGCATTTATGAATCGTCTCATTAACTAGGAAGCAGCAACGAAGCGTTAAGTGAGATTTTCCCAAAATTTTTTAATCAGTTTTTGATGCTTCAAGATTCAAATTTCAACTTGACATTTTGTAATTGCACATAAAAATCTTCATCGTTTAATTATATTAAAATCCTTCTAAAAATTTCATGATTATAAACATAAAGACAAACTTTGCAGTTAGAATCTGCTTGACATTTAACATTTAAGTAAACAGTCTACGAAACAAAGTTTTAATTGAAAGCTTTTGATAATTTGTGAACATGTTTGGGGAAATTTCAGACTCAAAAAAATTTCCATTCAAAGATTTGTTTCCGTTTGACCATTCGAATAAAGGAGAAAAATTTAATGAATATTTTTTGATTAGTACTTCGGGATAAAGCTGCGGGAAGTGTGTTGCAAAACACTCTTTGAAATGGCAAAAACGTGGCCAAAATGTGACAATTTATTTCCTTCCCTGTTTTTACCTTAAGCGATGCAAAATTGCATTTTTTTTATTATGATGCAGAAGTAAATGATGAGGGTAGAAATTTATGCTGGTTTCTGTTTTGGAATGGCTTCTCAGATCATCATGACTCATCTTTCTCGTACGCTGACCTATTCCTTAATTTTTTATTACATTTAGAGGCGGACGAGTTATTATTAAACATTCGAAATCAATTATTACTATCGTATCAACTATACGAGCAATTCAACAAGAGTATACTGCTTTAAACTATTTATTCGTTGATATAAGATTAAGAGAAAGGATTGAATAAAAAAAACATTTAAAATAATTTCATGAAAAAGTTTTTGTTTTATGAACATCAAATTGCCGTTCTGTTAATAACATCTGTTATCTGATGCGTAAGCAAAATAAAAATTTTGACAATAATATTTGTATTTATTTTGTACAATGTGATCATAAGGAATATTTTTCCTCGCCTTTAATATCTTCTCTTGTTTTTCACTAAATAGAGAGATAAAAATAAACACTTGTCTTAATATTTCAATAATTTTACCTGCCTTTGGACTACGAAGTTATTGAGAATGACAATATTTTTATTATTTTTTTTAAGATATTATGCCAAATGAGATGAAAAATAAAAAACACTTGTCAAGAACACTTAAATAAAGTTTAATTATTTAAGTGTTCTTGACAAGTGTTTTTTTATTGGAGTTTGACATTATTGAAACTTTGTTAAGTCTAAGACTCGTGTTTTGCATTGAAGAACGTGTCAATTTGAACGTATGATCTGGAAATTTTGTGAAGCTTCTAAAAGCTTCTAGAAGTAATTTACTGTTCAAGGAGAATTTGGTATTAATTTTGTTAATATTTACAAACAAACGAAAAACTAAGAAAAACAATTTTTGTTTTCATGATGATCAGAATTTATTTCAATTTAATTTGAAAGAATTTACATCATCAATAGACACAATCGAATTTCTATTCCCAGTATATCTAAATGCAACTTTCAATGAGAGTTGCACTAGGATCACTCTCACGAAGTTTAGAAGTGCTGTCAAGAATCATGTTCGTGTATGCTACGTAGTGCTCGCTCATAACATCAATAATCGATTTTGATGTTGTACTAGCCATTTCATCAAAACATTGAAAGTTGCAATTAGTTAACTCATTTGCGACTTGGATAATGCAACTATCAGTTTTTATGATGTTGCACCACCACAGTTGAAAATTCAAAGTGCTTGCCTTATTTGAAAGCATGTTTAATGAATGCCTAGCCAACCAAAAGTTCCAAATAAAGAATGTTGGAAGGTCTGTGATAATATTGTTGGTTTCTTCTATGATCTCATTAGGACATGTTTCATACCAAGATTTATAATTGTCTAAAACGTTGTCTAGACAATCTACTGTAGCTACAGTATGAGAATTTGGTGGCGGTGGCAATTTAACTTGCATCGCAAAATGTCTCACTACAACTTGGTTGAACTCAATCGATGGCTTTGTAAATCCCATTTCGTTCATTTCAAGATATATTAAGAAAAACTCTTTCAAATCCATATGAAATCGATCTAAGCTTTGAAAAACAAAAACGTCGAAGGATTCTTTAAACGCATCCAAAGCTGTCGTACTGAATGAGGAAACCTCAATCAAGTCATTATAAGTTCCTTTTAAAGTTTCAACATTGCCATAAAAAGGTTGCAATTCACTTTCAAGCGCCTTCGTCACGTTTTCAAATAATTTGTAATGTGAAGCATCCAATCGAGCATTCCAATCTAATAAATCGTTCACAAGATTTAATTGAGCATACAGCTGGAACTGTGCATAGCGAGGAGATAGAGCTGTCGTCTCTGCTATCTACTTAAAAAAAAAAGTTATAAATTCTTCTTAAAAATATTGCTACTTAAAACACTACAGAAAAGAATACAATGAAGCAAGTACTTATAAACAGATCCCACATCATTTGACATTCAGAATGAAACTGTCTCAAAAACTTCGTAGAGAAAATTTTTCATACAGAGGCGTAGTTGATGACTTCTTTTTATTTCTAATTTCTTCAAAATAATTCAATTGGATTCGTTATGAGATCATATCTATCAATATTTTAACTTTAAAGGGTTTTCAGTTATCAAGGAAATTAATTATTCATATAATTTGATCCTATTCTGTGTCTTGAGGATAGCTGCACACTTTATTTTTAAATCAGAAGTAACAAACAATTGTTCATGAGCAGTCCAGTAACTCCAATATTGTCAAATGAAACGTGGAGATATTTAAGTGAATTCATCTGTAATAAAATTCTTTTTAGATCATTAATCTGAATTTCTATGACACAACTTGAAGTAATAACCAAAAGATCGATTCAATGGTAAATTAATACATATTGTAATATTTAAATTAGTTAGAAGTCCTTAAAAATGAGCATAAAACTAAAGTAGCTTTGATAAGAATTTTTTTTTATTATTTTACTTTAAAAAATTTCATTTGTTTCACAAAAATCATGCAAATTGGTATGTAAAAGTTTGCGTTATGAAATATGTCATTCTGGTCCTTATGGACAAGTAGCTGCAAATTGTGCGACAAAATCATTCCATCCCATATTTCCTGTTATTTCCATCATGACGTCTGAAACGTCTTGTTGCACCGCCATTGGAAAATCTGTTCCTAACTGATCTAGCAAATTGTTAATACAGTTACTGCTGCAACTTTGCAATTGCGCAAGTATTGCGTTAAGTTGAGCGTCGGTAGTACAAGCATTCATTTGATTAGTTAAGTCATTCAGAATAGCAATAATCTCCGAAATGAGGCCTGAAACTGCTGCCGCGGTATTTGGCATGCTTCCCATTCGATCAACGATTATCATTATGATTTCTGCAGCTCTATCCTCGTATGCTTCTAAGAATTTCTGAATGATGTGCAATTTACAATCATCTGAATAGGGCATTCCATTACTATCCATAGCATATGACAACATAGAAAAGAACGAAGAAGATTGCATACTACTTTCAATAGCATATGAACATTGTGTTCCACCACATCCCATACCCATTCCTTGGCTTATGATATGCGTAATGCCCATTAAGACCATTTCCTCAAAACTTGGATTTGTTTGTTCCAATACAACAAAAGAAGGTTCAATTGTGTCGGTTACATAGTCGATAAAACTTTGTAGAACGTTAGGATCAAATCCAGTTTGCGCAATCAAGTCTGCGTATGCCGCATTAAAATTAGCTCGAGCATGGTATAATGGGCCCATGTAATATGCAAAGCCAGCACGAATCATATTGTACACATTGTAGCAGCTGGCATCCAACATTTTGGTTACACGTGTACACTCATTGGTGAAATCTAAACGAGCGTACAAAAAAACTGCTGGAAAAAGTCCAGTTTGTGCTGATGCAATCTAGTAGAATTCAAAACTTCGTCAATTTTTTAATTTCATGATTAAACTTTGAACTTACACCAAATATTGCGACTAAACAAATTGAATTCAATGCCAAAATCCTCATTTTTTTGGAGTACTAAAATAATATTCTATTAATCATATTTAATAATTTCAAATACATCGAGGATGAAATATTACTTATTTCAGTGTACATATATCACAATTTAATTGCATAACAAAATCTATAATCAATTTTTTTTTCGAATTTCTCTACTTAAATTTCATGAAATATCAAAGATTGTGAAATAAAAAAATTAAAAAAAAAATTCGTTTTAAAATATATTTTAAAATATTATTTTAA